GCAAAAGCTAAGATATTGGTTTCAAATATGTGAAAAACATTCAAAATTCTTCCACAGAAGTCGATATTGCAAATGGGCCGAATCGATTAAAGGACCCGTGTGTGGTACGACACCGGCTTCAACGACTTTTTATTCATTACTTATAAGCTAGAATAGAACATAAACGACAAATATTTCCACGTAAGTGAAACGTCAATCACGCCCATTAAAACTTTGGTTTTCCTTTTTTTTTTTCTTTCCTTTTTTAAATAAAATTGATAAGTGCAGAAGATTCGTTCGCAGCCAAATATAATTTTCTTACTTGTTATACCCTCAGCCATTTGTGGTACGGGATATATTAAGTTAGTGCGGTCGTACGTAACACGCAGAAGGGCTTAAGAGACCTTTTATTATACCGATCGATTCTGGATCGCAATTTAAATTGATTTAAGCCTGTCTGTCCGTCTGATGACTGTCCATGTAAATTTATGTTTAAGCTCCAGGTCGCGATTTTTGTGATATATGAAGTGTTTTGCCCCAAGGACTAATGCTATTGAAAATGGTTCGTATGAGTCCTCTTTTTCGACCACTCCACGTATAACATCTTATTCTCAAAAGTCGTTATATGGGAAAAAACTCAAATTTTCAAAATTTCTCAGCAAAGATGGCTAAGTAGTAGTATTTGGGTATTCTAAATTGATAAGGAAACTTTAAACCGACTGAGGCCCCCTTTTAAGCCCCCTCATATAACGAAAACTGAATGTAATGTAATATAAAAAAATTGATTGTACCAAATTTGGAACTTCTTGGCCTATTTTATGGATTTTCACGAAATTTGAACCTTTGCAGAGCAGATGGTGATGAAAATTGACCCATAATATTATAGTAATTTCATGCAAATTGTTTATTTTTGGATCTTGCCCTATGTAAGGATTAAATTTGTAGTAAAAGTAGTAGTTTGCATCTTGGGCCCGCTGCCCCATAAATAGACACATGGACAATATGCCATAATTTTTGTGTTCTATAATAAAAATAAAGATTGTGTTAGACAATATGGTATACGGTATTTAATGGTCGGCCTTGTCCGACTGTAATATGCTTACTTAGTTTTTCATTCAAGTTGAAAAATTTTATAAAATTTATTATCATTTTTATAAAGAGGGGTGATTTCTTTTGCCTTCAACTTTGTACAATCGTTTTGAAAACGAAATCCTTGACATTTTTTTATGAGAAAACAACGCACAATTACTTTATAATAAAGTCTAACAGCACGACAACAAACTTTGTTTACTTCTTTCTTCCTTTTCATGTTTTATTTGCTTTATTTCTTGATGTTGTTGACTGTGTCCCCCTTGCTCCGCTTTTTTTCGCATATCACAGTCGATGAGATGATACGGTGCATACACAATAAAATATTAGCTGCACAAGTTGCAAGTCTGCAAATGAAAACACATGTTTGTTATTGTTTCCCGGCAACCGTCTTTTTTTCAACCGGCTTTTTGAACCCATCAAATTTACCGTAGACGCGCGCAGACACTGGCTGGTGGTTCAAACAGTCTACAAATTGCTATATTTGGTAATTTTAAGGGTGGCTTCATTTTTACATTCAAACTAATATGTAGTGGGGACACAGAAGGAAAAGGAGAAGAAAACAAAGAAAAGGAATAGAAATCGAATGCCTGAAGCAAAGAAAATGAATTTACGAAATTATATTTACATTTGTTTATTTGAAATTATTTCAGGTGATCGCTAAATATTGAATATTTCTCTTGAAAGGCGTGCGTTATGTTCAATGAATTGAATTCACTATGATATTAATGCGTTTAATGGACATTTGAATAATCAATGATCGAAAAACTATGAACAAAAATTTTTTTTTAAACTTTCCTGGCAACAACTATCGGATACATTTGCCTTAAGACTTGCTTTCCTTGCCCAGTTAAAGTAACAAAATATGCTATGAATAGCTCTAGAGCGCGTCCCAGGTTTTCTAATAGCCAAACGTTTATCTTGGCTATCAGCAAAGACGTTAAAACCCGTTGCTTCTAAACCTAAAGGACAGACTTGAGCTACACTTAAATCTGCAGTTATGATTGTTGTTAAAGGCTATAAGATATATTCAAATAAATGAATAAAAAATGAAAGGAACATAAGTAAGAAAATCTCGTTCGTACGTATGTGACGGTCGCTAGATAAACATCATTTAATTGTTTGAATCTAATAAATAACAAAACCGACTCAATATCGACTAGAAAACGACGATTATTAATGGAAGCATTGGTAAAAAAATGAACGTCTCTTGGAAATGGAAATATGGGAGCTCGAAGAACAGACGGACGCAGCTAAATAGACCTAGAATATAGTATTGATGAGATGTATGCACATATATTACGAGTAGGGTTGCTAATATAGCGTAGATTCATCCGCAAACGTTGGGTATAAAACGGGTTTTTCTCAGTGAGCGCCTACAATGCCGTCAATGGATTGAGTCAAAAATTGAAAGAAACCTTTTTTTTTTTTTTTTTTTGAGTTGCATCTTTTTCTTATGATACTGACAAACACATGCGGCAATCTATAATACGCTATACTCTTTCACTTATGATATTTGCATCACGACTATTTTCGTTATCTAGGAATTATAGGCACCAAATATCGGAGTTTATACAGGCACATTATTCTTGATGGGTAAGTCTTTGTCCCTGATGACTGGTGGAACGGCAATAAAGGTCGATGTGGGTAAGGGTTTAATGTGAACGCGCGCCTATGTACGGGTAGCTTTAAGGCGCTATATGACGCACGTAGGGGATATTACATCACTCATAAAGTACCAAAGTTACATTGCTCTACTGGCCCAATTGTCTGTTAGCTCCTTTAGTTACGTATCATGAGTAGCATAATATGATGCAATCATCATTTTCTGTCTAGCGGAAAGCTACGTTCAACCTTCCTTCGGATGAAGCACCCAGTGACTGCATAAATCTACAGTCCTTTCAAAAATTTCACTGTCATCATATATATCGCAGATCTCTTCGAGAGAATTCTTCGAAATGTCAATCTGGCACATGAAGCACCTTCAGCAATGTCAGAATGTCAGTCCCAGATTTTCTAATGTGGCGAAAACGATGAATGGCTAGACGATACTGTCTAGCCATATTGCTAGTTTGCTAGGCAGCAGACATCCTTGGTGATATAACTATAAAGAAAAGAAAATCTCTCCTGGTAGATGCTTTTACTTTCTTTATAGCGATCAGATCGCTGGGGTCCAAATAAGTCCCAATCGTAAGTAACCACTGGTGATGGTATTTTATTTATTTTTACTTTGATTATAACCCAACACTAACCTAACTAATCCGAGAATAAACAAGTCTATAAAAATACAGAGAACTCTAGCTAAAGTTCTGACTGGGAAATTCTGTATACGAGTAAAGAAACTTTCGTTTTCTTCTTCTTCTTCTTCTTTTTTTTTTTTTTTTTTTTTTTTTTGGTAAAACATTATTTATACCACGTTTTGTGTCCTTACGATCACACAAACTGTGGCGAATGCGATTTCAAGAAGTGTTCGTCTCCTGAGCTGCCTCTCCTAAGTTTCAAAGATAGATTACAAGAAATTATAAGTGTAACGGCATTTTCCTCATTACATAACTTTTAAGGCGGGAATAGGTGAAAACAATAGCGAGGTATGTCATTTTTAATTTGATTTCGTTACGTTCACCTTTTTTCCAACATTACTAGAGCTTTCGCTTAAGACCTTCCATTGGGGTCACAGATCAAAAGATTTTAGTTCCAGTTTCGATATTTTTATTTCTAGCAAAAATCAAAGAAAAGAAAAAAAAGAAAACAATCACGACTAACTAATGAGTAGATTTTACGAACGAACTAAAGGAAGATTTTGGCATTTGGTGTCATACTATAGCGAGCGTTTACTTTTAGAATTGAGTTCAAGCATCAGCCTTCATAATTCTAATATGTGTAATTATTCGAGATTTTTTGACAGGCCTAAAAGAAATTTTCTGTGTAGTCCACGCAAAGAATACATATCGCAAACATCCAGTAACAGGCAAAGGAATCGAAATAATTTATATTAAGATTTTCACGCAAGCAACTATTATAGGCGAACCCCTCGAGAGATAAGACGAATGCCGAGGTCTATAAACAAGGCCGTAAATAACGTTCGCCACCTCCTAATATTGTTCAACGATCAAAACAATAACAAGAAAAAAGTAAAACAAGTATCGAAATCTATTGTTTAACCATATAAAAATATCAATTCATATGATTACTAGGAACCGAACAAGAATGTATGTCTATGTGTAAAACTGCAAATAAATGTTTATTAAAAGTGTTTTTAAGCATTAAATAAACAGCAAAAAAAAAAAATATATATATATATATATATATATATTGCTATTTTTTAATTTAAACTGATAAAGTAAACATATTCCAGGGAAATTATTCACACTATTATGTTCAATACGAAGCTATAGTTGAAAGCCAATGTAATCTAACTCGAATTATAAAAACTTCTTCTTCCACATCACAAGTTTCGGGAAAATATTGAAGCTAGATGCATTCGTTTAAGAGAACTGATAGGATAAAGCGATAGCTATCATCTCAGGGACAGAAAATCGTATTCACAAAATCGTACGTACACGATAATGCCTTTCAGTTGCAATTGCTCGCTGATGGAAACTTAAGAGAAAAAAAAAAAAAAAAAGAAGAAATAGTCCATTATCAGGGGACGGGAAGGAGGCTTTTCACTGTAAAGTAGTTACGGTTTATGAAGACGTAAATAAAATGTTAAAGATCGCAGAGATAACAGAGCAAAAGCACATGTTGTCGCAAAATGGAAAATCATAAAACAACGGAAAGATGACGACGGTTCATAAAATTCATTAAATAATGATAAAATAAAAAAAAATAAAAAAAAAAAATATGATAATGTTTTTCTAAGACAGATAAGGAAGGTAAGCAAAATTCGTAACCACTTGACAAGTTAATTGAATCAAAACAAATGGTATAAGAGACCGGATGATTTTTTGATTCGCTTATAGTACGAACTGACATATCGACGACAGTAGAACGAATAGAGTGATAATCGGTTGTTGAAAGGAAATTTCGTTGAAAGTGAATAAAAAAATGATGGCGTCATTGTGGAAAAGCCTTCTATTCCTTACAGCTGTTGTGCAGTTATCCTTGGCCGCCTATCCGGTAGTGCCTTTCCAACCCAATGTAGCGAATCTCTTCCTCACAGCTCACGATCCTGCTAAAGCTATGTCGTGCTTTGCGGATTACATGACGAATGCGAACGACATCAATGAGAAATACAGTAAAGATTATAATCAATGCATACTGAATGCTAAAAGTGAACGGGAGAAACTCGAAGAAGAGACCGTGGCAAAGAAGGCGCTGATCATAGAGGTGTCGTTAGAAGTCTGGGAACGTTTGAATGAATGCAACAATAAAACCAACAACATGGATACATTCAAATGTCACGCTAAAGCGGTAAGTTTATGTAACGGAACTCTAATTTAGGGAGAGAGAGAAAGAAAGAAAGAAAGAAAGAGAGAGAGATAGATAGATAGAGAGATGACAGACTAATGTTTCGAGTAAATTGTTTTTTAAACGTCTTCTAGGGTGCACTTAATAGCAAAGACGTTTATGTGATTTCCGGTAATTCATCCGATTATGTTAGCGCGCTCGAGGAGAGCTATCGTATCATTGACTTACGTCACGAGCAATGTTCCAAATCCGCCGAACGCTCTTATGTTCAAGCCTCCGCTGTCAATTACGGTCAACTGCAGGATTGTTTAGAAGGTAAAGTGCCCACCCCTGCACCCACACTCCCACCCTTGACACACACTACAACCTCAGCATTCCCGGCTATGACATCCACAACACCAAAACCAACCACAACAGATCCCATACCATCAAGTACTACTGACGACTCCAGCACATCTGATAGCCCCGATGCTCGTGCCATGTTCATCGAAAATTCTTCTCGCCCCAAGGGACCATTTCAAACAGGGCAATACGCAAAGCTTTTAAATTTATTAAAATAAAACAAAATAACTTGAACGCAATATATTGGATATAATTCAATGAGATGCAAGGACAACGAGCAAATTAAATTCATTTTTATTCCTCTCCTATTAGTCTTAAAAAAAAAAAATTAAAAAAAGATCAAAAATTCCTTAAACGAAAAAAGAAATGCAAATAAAATCCTTAAATAATTTATAAAGTTATTTTTTGTAATTAAAAGTTTAAAGAGAAAAAAGTCGAACGTTAGAAACAATGCAAGCATTAGTCAGCAGTCATTCATATGGAAAATGTGCGTGAGCTACACTTCCACAACTGATGTTTTCGCAGGAAAATACCAATAGGGACAATATAACAATAAAATTCATAATAATATAAAGCAACAACAGCAACAACAATAAAAAAAAGAGCAACAATAGAAAATTACATTATTTCCTTTATAAGGAAACCATCCATTACAGGTAACCTGCACTCAGGTCTGAGCTAAACTAAGCAAAAAACTAAATGAATGCCGATCGCTTGAGGAAGAAAAAAATAAAACATAAATAAAAATGAAAAAAAAAACTAAATAAATAAAATAAAATAAAAAAAAAAAACATCACCATCTATGGTTCTCATTCACAATCCAGCCATACTCCTAGATTTCCAACCATATATGGTTAGATACAGAAAGTGTACATAGCTTCAGACACCGGCCATATGCACAAAGACTTGCGACAGCATCACATGAAAAATCGCTTAAAGCAGAAAAAAAAAACACAATTTTTCTTTTTTTAAATTATATACAAAATCAAGAAACGGAAAAAAAAGAAAAAGAAAAAAAAAAAAAACAGCAACAACAACACTTGTTTTAGAGACTTTTCGCTTTTTTAACGGTGCAATCATTCTCTTCGCTGAATGTATTCCTATACGCAGGTGTTTTCGATAATGATCGCAAATCAATTTAATGTTGATTTTAACGCTTAGCTTAAAATTCCAAAAAAATAAAAAAGAATCAACAAACAAGAAAAAATGTAGACTCGTTTTAGGAAGAATTTCAGATACCCATCCCATCATCTAGTTTTATTATTATTATT